TAATGCTAGTAAAACTAATTAGTATATTGCCAAATGTAAAATCGCTCAGGAGCAAATATTGTCCGGAGAAAATCAATCATACTTCAACTCGTTACCGGGTCTAACATAACTAAGTTATGGTGACCTCAGGTATCCTACAAAAAAACTGACAAGTTTTGTATCACCATATTGAAACCATTTTTTTCCTTCTGTCAGTTTATGATTGTCCTGGTTAAGGTGACTTATGACTTGGATAGTTACCTCTACAAATCTCTTGCTGTTTTTCTACCATAAGCTGATAACTCTCTTCGTTACGTTCCTCATCACTCAACCATGCACTGAATGTTACTTCTCAAAACTGAGGGAAAATAAAAAGGAAAAACATACAACTGTCGATTAAAATAAAACACTCTGAAAGGTTTCAGTTAAGAAAGAAGTTCACAGTATCAATAGTGCGTGCACTTGGCAGCTCTTTGACTATTCGTTCAGACAAGAGAAAGGCATGCAAGAGACAGATCAATAGTTGTAGCACTTACACTTTCAAGTCAGTTCCATACTGATTCGCGAGTTGAATGTCTTCACTGTGTTGTTGGTACAGTTCTAATGTTATACCATGCACCTTGCAATAGAGCGAACAGTTTCAGCGGCAGTAACGTTCATCAGGTATCGTTAAACGCAAGCGATCCATGATCGTTCAGGAGAGACTAGCTCGAAACTACGATGCCGTTAGGAAAATTCAAAAATCATTTTGGGGTTATTTGCGCATGGGTGAATATAGATGACTCATTATTCTATTTTGGTTCTCGTAAAAAAATAATGAGAATCTAATGTATTGACAACACCTGTGAAGTATAATGATTTACATATTTGTTCCTCTTTTTAGCGTAACGAATTGCGATCAGAACTACATGCAAATGATAAACCTTAAGAAACTTCCCGAGTATTGGCCATTTCAAATCATTCAAAATTTTCGTAATAGTTCCAGGAGTTGTGCAATATTCATTTTTTAAAAACGTGCCAGTCGTCTCTGCGCACTCTCAATGTCCTTTATCTGTTTTTGAATGTGTGGATGGCATGCGCAACATCCACGTATTCAAGTTGCGGTCTAACTAAAGTAAGATAGGCTTGCTCTTTTAAGTTTTTGGACACTTACTTAGGTTTCTTCTTATAACGCCAAGGGTTCTGTTGGCCTTTTGCCATAATCCTAGCAATTTAGATCACTGGATAGCTCAACCTCAAGGAATTTGTGGTGATCAACAGCTTCCAAGGGTTCTCCGTGGATGGTGCATTGCACAGTATTGCCCATTTTTTTGGAACAACGATTGTTGATTGATGATGTCTAAGAAGTAGCGACCATTTTGAGGGACGCGCGTCAACCGAAAGTGGACTTTTTGCACTCTTGAGCGATGATTTTGAAAAGATTTTTGGGCAATCGGTATCTACAAGAGAAAAGACTCTTAGCAATACAAATTTAGAAGCGATAAGGCGTATTAAAAGAGAATAAGTTCACTTCCGGTTGACGTGCGTCGCTCAAAAACGTCGTTGCTTAGAAGCCCCCTAGGAGCAAAAAAGTTGCGATTGTCTGCCTCCCTGGTGTTTTACACATCAACTGACCAGGAATCTGTTCCACCGTACCTCAGCCTCATCTCTCATACATACATCGAAATGAATTCACGCCTTTTGTACTTTAAGTTATTCAAGGAAGGACGACTGAATTCACCTCCGACTCCGGTGAATATTTGACTATTTATTGTAAAAATTATTGCTAAAAAGACAACTGCAATGACTGATCAACCAACGTGAGACTGCAGTTACAATATCTCGACTGGCCAATACCAGTCTTCATCAAGTTTATTAGCCTAGATCATATATAATATAGCTGCGAATTATAGTTTTTAGATAGGAAATAAGCAGCAAGTGGCTGTCGCAGTGGTTATTACTAATTTTAAGAATGTTCTGAAACCGCTGTCTGAATATGACTACCACTAGGGTTAAGTACTGGTCGCCTTTATTCATTAAAAAGGTCTGTGAGGCGACGTTTAGCTTCCCCAATGTCATGTTAAAGGCGACATTGAATCATGTAGATGCAGTTGAAAGTAGTGCAAGTTACATGAGATTTAATACGGTGGTTTCACCGGTGGATTGAAAAGTGGATTGATTTCCGTGTTCAATGCAAGGGCAGGTGGTACAATTCCTAATATGGCACCGAAACTGAGAATCGGGAGCGGCCTGCAAGTGAGTTTCTGTTACCTCGGCTAACAAGAATGTCACAAATGTTTTTACAACGCTAGAAAGCTACAGACGGAAGGTTTTAAAAAACATTTCTGCAACGACTGATTGGATGAGTAGAACCCGCTCGCATGCTTGTGAATGATGCAAGCAATTTTAGGTAGTGCGGGATTCATGTAATGAAAAAGGGTGTGGTATCTGCTCGTGTCGTAGGCCGGGTCGTACGTTTGTTCTTATAAGTGTGCCAGTGCGAAGAAACGTCAGAAGCCCGTTTTATTTGTGTGTCGAGAAAGGGTTTGTCGTAGCCTCGATTAGTAAGGTAGTCTATAAGTCCGTTACTACGCCGTATGTGACTGTCTTGGACAGAGCAAATGCGGCGAAGGCAAAGTGCAAGGCTGAAACATACTCGTATTAAAGGAGTCCCATGTAACTTTTAATACTTTCAATGTTATCTACAGATTCAAAGTCGCCTTTGTAATTTACAATACATTGGGGAAACCAAACGTCGCCTCAAAGACCGTTTTAATGAACACAGGTGACCATTACTTAACCATACTGGTAGCTATATCCATACAGCGGTTTCAGAAGATTTTTCTTAATAACATCCACTCTGACACCGACGTGCTGTTAATTCCTATTCAAAAACTGTTATAAGAATGGACGTGATTCTCTAATCCATAAAAGTACGTAGGACCCTTGAGCCTCTGGGTATCAATAAACGTGATGATCTATAATTAGCAACTATATTTAGTACATAACATATTTTTTCTTTTTGTTTTTCTGTTATCTTTATGTTTTTTAATTAAGTATAAACACCATACTTCGTCACTTCCGCCATTGCAGTACTACATAAATATTTTTGTAAGTTCGTGATCTTCCTAATACTGACCTGATGAAGACTGATCAGTCGTTGGAGTTGTCCTAATTTATTCTTTTTATTAATTTTGAATGATCGCAGTCTTTTTTGATGCGACGTTAAGCAAGATTGATCGAACACGGCTTTTTGCAGTGCCTTGTAACTTAAATGCACATTTGATTGTTTTAAACATGAAACACTTAATCATTTTCCGGCGGGTACTCCTGGCAATTCGTGGTGGGGGTGTGCCGCCCAGTTCTCCGAATCCTGATCCTATTTCAGACCAAAAAATGTCCTTTTTCACACCCGTTTACAGACTTGGCCTTTAAGGCATTACGTCATCATTACTTAGAAAAGAACAGCAACAAAAAAAAATTCTTAAAATCCATTTCGAATGGGCATATTTCTCTCTCTTTCTTACTCAAAGACGTTTTGAATTGAATCGACAAATACGCTCATACACTTCCGTAGTTCCTTCGAAAACCATATACCCGATTCCAGACCAAAATGGACAAAGTCTATACCGTCCCGTTTTCAGACCAAAACGCCGCAAAAACCCAACCCTTTGGGGCGGCACAAACCTATATGGCTTATATATGGGAGGACCCTCCCGGGGTATCATCTTTGCCGGACCCGCCTTGCAGAGGTGCCGCTGCCGTGTGCTACACTGAATAAGTAAGACGTGAGTGCGTGTTCGTTTAACTCCACCTAATCCCGGATGTTGGCTACATCTGCAGTCAACCGTACTCCATAGATTATTTGAACATTGAATCCGTCATTCCCTGTCGCCACCAGCTGGCCACTGGTATCAAATTCAAATCTGCATTTCTGCACGCAGAAATGAGCAGTGAACTTTAGACCACGATTTCTCTTTTTCAGTCAAAAATATTTCACGTTTTCCATGGATAAAATTCCTGTTTAGACATTATTTATACCGAGTTCAAAAAGAAAGAGGAGCTGTGATGAATTTTAATTACCTCGCGTGTGAATTCACTGCTCACTGGATGATGAAATATATCGGATATCTGCAACGACAGGCGTATTCATTTTCAAATAATGAATGGAGCTGATTGGAATCTTGACCGGCCTGTGACGAGAAGTCTGGAAGCTGAAATGCACAAACCTCTTGTGCTGTGACCCCCCCCCCCAACACGCAACAAGAGAAAGAAAACCTCATGTGTAGTAGTTTAAAAGGACAAAACGAAAGATTTTGATAATAATGCAATTGGGCCTACTGTTAATTAAACTTACATTTTAACTACCAAACTATCCTCCTCACATTACTCTGAAAGACTAATAAATGGTAGATGTCTTTAATGGTTTTTATTCTCAGTCTCCTTTAAGTAATGTATACCAGTTAATCCACAGTCCGATAAAACCAACGTGAGAAACACCCCCTTACTGTTGTAAAAAATGTATTTCGCGAATTTGCTTACGCAGATTAGCCACTTTTTCGCTTTCTTAAGCCTTGAGAAAACATTTTAAAACTTATTAGAGTCAGGTAAATATGTCAGTTATTAGAGTTCTATATCCGCTGCCTTAACTACTAAAAGGGCGTTCCCAATTGTCCGCAAGTCCGCCGATTCTTTTTTACCGAACTTTCCTTGCTCTCTTGAGTGCAGTGTCTTTAAGTTTGACTCTTTACGAGGCAGTAATAGATTCTAATCACGTATTAACAAGGCAATTAAGGACTCAAATTGAGTGTTTCCTGGGCGCAAAGGAGGACACTGAAGTTTGCTAATCTGATTAGGTAATTGAGTCTTAAAAATACTTGCCTCGATTACACCTCAAAGAACTCCGCACGAAAAGGTTACGGAACAAGCATAAAAGAGCAAATTCCTCGTCACCGACTGACTAGACCGTATACGAGACCTAAAACTGAACACAGACGCAACGAGTTCTCTTCTAAAACCCAGGCACAGGCCGCTGCATAGCCATGTCTGGTAAACCAGATGAGAAAAGCGAAATGATGATTGAAGACAAACAAGAAATCAAAGGGAAAAAGTCATCTGTTTTCAAAGAGTCGAATCGTGTTCCTCATTCTTGTTGTCATCGCATTCGTGGTTCTAATCATAGGGATAGTGCTGAGAGCTCTTTCCTTCAAAAAGAAAGACTGCATTGTCAGAATGATGACGGAGAGGAAAAGCAACAGGCTCAGGTATCTTGTGAGCAGACCTTATCATCCTTTTGCGAATACTCCGAGGAAGCCAAAAGGATCGGGCTGCACGACATTTTGCTTCGTGCGAAAAAGGGCTATTACGAGTACAACCCTTTCTTGTTGACAAGTGATCCAGATGCTACTCGAGATGAGATCAAGGAGAAGTACATAGCCTACAACCAAACGCCAGAACACATAAGTGACCGACGCTGCGCGGAAGCTTCTGAAAGAGGTCAACGAAGCAGAAGTAGACGCTAATAAGCTGAAATCGCGAGAAGGGAAAGCTCTGTCACAGATCAAGCACTTTCTAAAGACGTTGTTCGGACTGCCATACGACATGAACTACTATGCCGGACATTGGATGATGGGGCCAACACATGTTTGCTTTAAACACATGTTCTGCAATGTTGGTGAACATTTATCTTCCATGCTGAGGCAAAAGAAAATGAATATTAAGTGAAATATTTGATAAAGTATATTTTAAAATGCTTAAAATTGATTAAGTATAGCAAAAAATGAGTATATAGACGAGAAAATTTCAATAGCTTTTTTCAAAATTTTGAGTTCAAGTCGTCGTCATTTTGTCGTTAGAAAGTTAGAAGATGTTTCAATTTTTATTTTCTCTGAGAAAAAAATAATAATTTTATGAGCAAATGCCCCCAAAATGCTCGGAAAATGAATTTAATGCTCTCGCCATAAAAATGCGAGCATAATGTACAAGAGCCTAGAATGTTACTAGCGGCGGGAGCGGTGAAAGGTGGCTGTATTCTGGGAGGCTGTTCCATGAAATTTCGATTTGTATAACCCATAGCCATGTTACTTGTACCGCTTATGACGCCATCACGTGATGTACATGTTCGCGACTCGCCCAAACGGGTGGCCAGAAAATCCACGTACTTAACTAGAAAATCGAATGAAAATCTTGTCCCGATAGTTCCTCTAAAATATCGTAGGGCTGAGATGTTCAGTGTTTCCACGATTCGTTTCCTGATGCAAATGAGACCTAGAAAAACGAAAGCAGGAAAAAATTGAAAAAGGCGGATTCCTTTGCTTCCTTTGACTTGACAGCGACAAAAAAACAACTCGACCAACTTTAAATGACGTTTCGAGTGCATAAAAAATCTCAACAAGCAAAGCTGTCGTTTAAAAAAATGCAGAAATTGAGTACGAAGATGTTGTCACCAGTGGCTACCCATCACACACAAAACAATGTTTGTGCTCTCCTGCATGGCAGAAACGCTCTAGATCCCTGTATACATGTACAGCCACTCCATAAGGAAAGGGAACGGAAGGGCTGAACACAGGCTATTCTGACCACGCCCACCCAAAATTCATCCATCTCCAACTCTAATCGGCACGTCAAAAATGTCTTAAATTGTAAAATCACTATTCTTGTTCGCAGGTATCCTGGAAAAGTCGTACGTACAAGAAGTCCTCAACGACGATTACTTTGCTTACATAACCGAAGAAATGAATACAACATGGAAAAACGAACACGGTGGTAAATCTGTAAAGGAATTTTTAGATGATTATCTTGTGGAATATTTCGGAAAACCCATGATTCAGCTACAGAGGTACAACTTTATTTCGTCTACCAAGCCCCATCGCTATAAGGGAGAACTTAGCTTAAATGGGACAAGTCTGAGAATAGTTATCTCTATTTTAACAGATATCTGGAGCATGACCATTACCGCCATTGCGTACCAAGTAACGTGTCCAGCGGATTAGCCACCCTGCCACTGGATCATGTCTGGGTTGATGGCAAAGAAAATAAGTCTTGGCCTACCAACAAAAAGCTACCGACTGGTGAAATGCTGGACGGTAAAATGGCGTACTCCGAGATAATGGCATATTTCACTACTACGGTTTTAGCTAAAACCGTGGCCCCAAAGTATTCTTACGCCTTGCGTAAAAAATTTCACAGCTGCGCCTGTTCCTTTTCGTAAATCCGGCCAAACCTTCAATGTTTGCGACCATCATTATTTTTAGTCATATTATGGCTTAAATACAGGCGTTTAGTTGGCGTTTAGTATTTGATTGTAAAACTCCCTGAAGAAGTCTACGTTAGTTAGACGAAACGCGTAGGAGAATAAACAAGTTTTACAGCAACAGTTCGCAGAGTGCTGCTCACTAGTTTAGTTTTAAAAATTATCTCGTCGCAATCTATTTTAATCTAAGTTCTTAATTTTGCTCATCCGTGCTCTTTTTTTTCTGTATACGTATTTCACTTGTGTTCCCCAGAAACATTTATTTTGGCTTTTCAGCTACTACACTTTGACCGGTTAGGGGTGAAATTGCCTACAAAAGCGTAAACTGATCGTCCCTCTTTAATAAAAAAATTTCCCACAAAATGGCGCTTTGTAATTGGTTAAGAGAAATTTTGTGCCTAATCCAATCAAAAACAACAGCAAACCATTTGTAACTTCAGTCATTCCCTTATTATTCCATCCCCTCTAGCTCACAGGCTACCCTACGATGTCCGTTTTTTTTTCTTCTTCTTGTATTTGAAGCATTTTTAGTTCTTTGGATTCCCTGAGGTGGTTTTTAATAGAAGAGTAATCACCTTTATTAATTCTGCATCGAGTGGTTCAAGTTAAAACGGCCTCAGCCTTCGAGCACTAAGCATTACTTCTTGGGTGCCCTAAAGTCAAGCACGATCGAGCGGAACACGAAAGGTGAATCGTGCGCGCGTTCTCTCGTGGCTCGCTTAGCCGGAGCTCAGCTCGTCACTAAAAATGAGAGCTCAGGCTAAAACAGCAGTGATGACTCCGTCAATCTGGGATCCCATCTGTTCTTCCGGTAGATAGTTGAGGCAGCTAAGAAAACTACTGGCATAGACAACGAAACAGAAGCCATCAAGGAATTCCGGAGCAAGTTAGAATCACCGGATACTTCAATAAAGACCCTTTTCCTGCAAACGAGTCAGATGCTCAAGCGCATGCGCGATGCAGTACTATTGAGGGAGCAAAAAAACATTGTCCCATGAGATGGAAGGCCATTCAAGAATAGTTTAAAGATTCTAGAAATGTAAGTGTTTTACACACACTTAGGAAAAAAGAAATGAAGAAAGGGGTTAGTTTAGAGTGATTTTACTTGATCCGTGAAACAGATACTAATAAATAGTGCCAAATGGCTAGAGGTAAACAGAAGAAAACAATAGAATTGGTGCCTAATAGTGCGTAGTATCCTACTACCTATTTCATATATGGTTCAAGTAAAATCACTTTATGAGGTAAAAAAGCTAGGGTTTCGTTGCTAGGGAATGAGAAGGAATGTCGAAGGTTTAGCCAATGAAACATCAACTTTGAATATCTTTTCCATGGCAAATTTACTATATTGACAGAAAAAAAAAAAACAACAAAAATAAAGAAAAATTAAACAGCAACAACTATTTGCATCAGTCTTATACAGGACCCACTTTATATCTAGGATTTGCCAAGGTAGAATAGAAGCCACGAAAAGTCAAAGTTTGTAGATTGTTACAAGATGTGGGGCAGCTAAATGGGTTAGGGTTAGGGTTGTCTGGAAACTCTTCCGTGATTCACTGACCGGAGCCTTCCATGAATCTAAACGGCGGCAGAAACAATAAAAGCAACAAGCGGGTGTCGATTTTTATACTTAACTTAAGCTTTGGTTTGTTTCGTTTTGTTTTTGTTTTCGCTTTCATTTTATTTTATTTGTCTTATTTTTTTTTTCAGGCTATGAGTTTGTTATACCCGAAAATAGTTTACATGTTTTGGTTTGCCGGAGATAAGCACTCAACCCCTAACTGTCCAATTGAACTGAAGCCTGATTTTAACCCCTCCAGTGGCTCTCAGAGTTACACACATAGTGATGCAATGTGTTTGAAGCCTGCGTATTACAACATCCCGTTTTTTATGAGTAAGGCCGGCCCAAAGTCTGCCGAATGGAACACAGGTGCACACGAAACACGGCCTGGACATCATCTGCAGGTATTGAATGAACAGATACCGGCTATCTTTTAATGTAAAGTGCCGAAAAATGAAATGAAAGGGTTGGCTTAATAAGTTATTCGCATTGAAGGGAGGGGAAAAAAAGAGAATAGAGAAGAATAAAACTCGATATTCCATAATGAAAGTAGGTTTCTGGGAAGAGAGAAGAGGGGATATTTCGCTTGGATACGCACCACAGGAAAGTTATGCTACCATGGTGACAATGGATGTGCTGTTCTGTACTGGTCTTTCGACTGTGATGGGAACGTGTTTACCAGACAAACAATTCTCTATGATTATTTTGCCTATTAAATTTATCTTTAATAGCCGCCTAGCGTATGGTAACAAACTTGAAGTGTTGATTAATTAATTAATTTTTTTTTGTTTGAAAATATGCGTCACTGGTACATATCAAGCTTGAGGTCAAGGCGGCCAAGTTCTTTTTATTTAACGTCGATAAAGACGCAAAAAAGATCAAGGCTAACAGCCGCGGCAATCTTGACTGAACAAGCTTGGTCATTTTAGAATTTATTATACACATTGTATGACCAAAGAACAGGAAACCTTTTCTAGCGGAAATAACGCAAGTAATCCCAAGTGGGCAGGAAAGGCTCATCTTGACTGGTAGACAGTCGGGGAACAAAGAATTCTCTTCATCATATGCTGATGCCCACTCGCTGAGTCAGCCCGGCATTCTTTAACCGATGAATTATACGTTGACCGTTAAGTATCCGAATGAAACTCAGCCACACCACTGGATAAAAATACATTGAGAAACAAAATCCTTAAAGCCAGATATTTTTATTCAATTTAGATGCAAGGGAATCTGGAGCATTTTCAGGACACTTGTGGCGGTGTGATTGGCTGGTTAAACTCCATCGAATCCCCTACAGCCTTTTCAGAAGGCTGGGGTCTGCACTCTGAAAATCCCCGGATATCAGATGACACGGATGTATATGATGAAGAACCAATGAGGAAATACGGAATGCTGCAAGGGCGGGCAAGTATAAATGTGGAAAAATATCTCAGTTTTGTTGCAATATAGCATGCGTAGCAGTATATGACTTATGTCCAGGATGGTTGCGATCAGGCATGCTAACTGAATGCTTATTAAGTGACGCAAAACTTTAGGTTTGTACGATTTTGTCAGTCGGTAGCCAAATTTTCAAAAATTGCACTGAGGAGCTGTTTATATAACATTACTGTCCCTCGTTTCAACACGTACTTTCTTAAATACTCTATCAGCTACAGAGGAGCAATTTTATGGAACGCTGTTTCGACTTATTTTACAGGAGAATTAACACATTTTTATCGTAAAGTAAAGAAGGACTCTCACATAAAGGAACTAGATTTTAGTGCACAGTCTGTCCAGTTGCTGCCTAGCCGGCACTATCATGATTTAAAATGTTTTTAACTATTATATTTTTAAATCTTGTAGTAAATTACTCATTACTCATTTTAACTCATATCCATAGTGTATCTTTGTTAGAATCTTATTGTATCTTTTTAGAGTTTTTATAGTAGTTTCATATTGTAAGTAATTTAAACTTTTATCCTTGTTTTTTATTATTGCTTTATATTGTAATTATTCTTACACGACCCCACAAGCATAGAGCTTTAAATCTTATCGTGTTTAAATAAAGGATATCATGAAAAAAAAAAAAAAATGATGATGATGATGATGATATTGTTTATTTACTTCTTTTAGATCTGGCGGGCTTTGAGGCTCATTGTCGACACAGGACTGCACTATAAAGGAATGAAAAGAGATGAAGCTATCAAAATGAGGTGAGAGTAGGATGATCAATGATGTTGTTGATGATAGATACTCTTATTTTTTGGCCATCTTAGCTTAAGAAGAAACAAAAAGCAAACTGTGGTGATAAACATAAGGAAATACATTCAAATGCATTTCATGAAAGAAATGAATTTTAACCTTGACGTTTCGTACGAAGAACCAATGAGGAAATACGGAACGCATTTCTCTTGGAGCCATTTTAACTTCCAAGAGAAACTGAAGACAATGCTTATGCAAAATTTTGGGGTGACAAACAAAGAGCATTATGGTATGTTATGGTATTTTCTGGAGTGGTAAATACCTACTCTAAGTCAAATTACTTTAACAGGCACACCACCATATATTTATTTAATTATATTTTTGTCTCAGATAACTCGTTACCAAAGCTTGTCGGGACAGGCAACATCCTACATGGTTGGTAAGCTAGGAATTGTACAATCTAGGGACTATGCAACTTCTGCCTTGGGTAAAAACTTCAGCCTCAAAGATTTCCATTACCAGGTATTAATTTGGCTTATACAATATGTAGTTTTCTATTGTCTAATTCAAAATTCGTTGCCGGTCTAGACACTCGTAGACTACCAAAACCAAACGTCGAACTTTTCATGAGACAAACTATTAGTTAACTTGGAAACGTTTTACGTCTGTCTTCACGTTCTGTTCGTCTGCTTCAGGTGACGATGTCTGGTTTGTTCAACGCTTCATTAGTTCAACGTCTGACCTAACAGACGAACTTATTGTATTCACTCAAATAAGCGCCGCGGCCCCGATGCAATCAAATTAAAACATAGTAATTCTTTAAGTTTAATAGGGGAAATCAGAGGGGGCTCCTGCGTTAACTTAAAACAATTCTTTTTCGCGTCCATTCTTCAAATAAACGCCACCCTCAAATAATCGTTGCCCTAGAATTTGAGGCGTGAAACATTTAATAAGCGCCGCGGTGCTGAATCGAGTAAATACGGCAATTCAGTAATTAGAATTTGGTTCGTCTCATGAAAAGTTCCACGTTTAGCCTGGCTGGCCTTAGCAACTTCAAGTGATTTAAGATTTAGGTGCATGGAAGCAGGGAATTGAATCATTAACCAAAGCTCCGGTTGTATCGATACCATGTTATATGAATTGTAATTCTCACTACGTTCAACTTCTTTCAGGTTTTATCTCAAGGAACGTCACCAATTGGTTTCCTCGTGGAACACATCAATGATTATGTCGAGTGCGTGATGAAATCCCACCTAGAAGGTTGTTCCACCTTGTTAAATCCTCCGAAAAGTGCAGCTACCGAAAGTTTTAAAAAGAAACTAGGCATGCTATTGCATTTTAAAGAAAAAAGGCTCCTCTTTTAGGACAATTAAAAGGCGAAGGGTTTAACCAAAATGTCGAACGTAATCGTCAGGATTTCCCATTGGCTTTTCATTGCTCACGTGCTAAACTAGATGAGGGTTAATCTCGGGCCACTTCCGAGTTCCAAAAACCCTCACTTTCAAAATGAGGCTAGGTGCACAACCTTTCTTGTGAAAATGAGTTTTATTTGCATGAGAATGAAAAATGATTTCCATATCAAAGACTAAGCACCCACCCTCGAATTGAAAAAGAGGCCCGGGGGAACCCGGAAATGGCCTATTGGGAAATGTAAATCCGTTTTTTCTTTCCATTTTCTTTTTCTTAAATTCGATTTTGAATGAAAAATCTATCTGAAGAATCATAAAGTTGCAGTTTCTAAACTAAGATTAACAGTCTTTTAAATCTTGGATTGGTCCAAACAATGTCCAGGACTGGGGCGCACATTTTATTACATAAACTTAGATTTGTTTATTACGCGGAGAAACTTAGAATGCTGGATAATCAAATAGTTAGTGATGTGAGCAAGTTAAGAGGACAGATAGAGGGAGAAACCTGTAAGCATTTTTGAATGAGAATAAAACCGGCTTAAAACTAGTGACTTGCTATGGGTACTCATTCCAGCGGCGGCCAAGAAAAAACGGCAAAAGAATTCTAAAAAAATTATTTGGCAATGTTCTCAACCTGTCAAGTGTACATTATGATTCAAAGACCAATTCTGAAAGGTTCACATGCTCCTCTCGTGATTCACAGATTTTCGAACCAAATAGAGACTGCTCGCAGTACTAGCCAATAAAAGAAGTGGTAGACTGTCTCTGTAAAACTGCAATCCAGTCTGGTCTGCTCATGCATGCGCAAGTCATAAATCGCCGATCTCCCACCTAGTTATTTTTCACGTGCACCAACACCTCTTTCTGTTTCCTCTCGATACAGTCGTGGTTCTTTGGGTCAGCAGTTTAAGGCTGAATTTTCACTGTCTAGAGGCGAAAAGAAACGCAGCTCGTAAACTTAAATTCCTTAAACGTAAAACTTGAGCGAAGCTTAAACTTTTACGCGCGCTTACGCGTGACCTCCCATACATTGCCTCTATTTTCTTACGCTCGTAAAATTACGCGCCAGTGGAAATCCACGTTATTAAAAGGCAAGGAAAACTGAAGCAAGTATAAAAATAGTAATAAACCTTCAGTATTGAATAAGGATGCTCCGAGTGCAAGAAATGCTTTTATGTGCTGCTCTTACGTTTTAAGTTAATCAGATTCAAGTTACATATGCTTTAATTGTTGGTCATAAGTTTTTTAGTGACCACTACAGAACGCTCATCCATACACGTGTTCAAATAATGTTATTCATTTCCACATTAGCATTTTCAAAAATATGTATATTTTCTTTTTCTTGACGCACTAAACTGCGCAACAGGATTTTTAAAACAATTATTGCAAAAAAAAAACAATGCTTTGTTTATGTTTTTTTTAGTATATGATAAAAATAAATGAACATAATGCAAACATGAATCAAGAAAAACTCCAAATATTAATCGAAAATGAAGGTCTTTTTTCAACCTTCAGTGGAGTTATTTGAAGTTAACTGGCTATGTTTTGGAGCTGAATTTTAAGCTTCCAAACAAAAACCAATAAACTAAGTTACAGTGAGTGACTTTGCTAATTTATTCAGGAATAATAATAAGATTTTTGTCTGCTCTTAATAAATGAAAAGGTTGCAACAAAATTTAACCTTTTACATTCCTTAGTGACCAGAGGCCAACAATTTCTCCTTTACAATTATCATTGCTCCGTCGAACATGAAAGTTTTGAGAATAAAGAAAATGATTACCATAAACTGTCTTAACTTTGAAACAAATTCTCTACAGTAGCATCCCAAGAGGGGTGCAGTGAACTGTATGGAGAATCTGTTTTGCCGGTGATGAAGGCTAATAACTGAAAAACAAGATTGAAAATGCAAATTATTTTGGCGGTGGTCCTGAAGCACGTTTGATGAGGGCACGTCTAGTGAATTAAATGAATAAAGGCGTTCAGATCAAGCAAGATATTACAAACTACCTTCGAAATTGCCATGTCAGGTCTGCCAAAAGAAACAAGTCAGATGATAGCCGAAGACAAGCTAAAATTCCAAGGAAAAGGCAAGTCCTCGTTTTCCAAAAGTAGGATTCTGTTGATCATACTGGCAGTGATTGCCTTTATTGTGTTAGTCGTTGGAATTGTGCTGATAGCTTTGGCAGCCAAAAGGAAAGACTGCGATGGAAGAAAGGGCGGCAAGCGTCCCGGGAGCTCGGGCGAAGAAATCTCTTCTGATTTTTGTGAATACTCCGAGGAAGCCAAACGGATCGGGCTTGACGACATGATCTTGCGTGTAAAAAAAAGCTACTACGAGTATCATCCTTTTCAGTTGCCTAGCGATCCTGATGTGACCCGAGATGAGATCAAGAAGAAGTACAAAGCCTACAACCCAACGCCAGAATACATCAAACAAGTCACCGACGCGGCATGGAAGCTATTGAAAGAAGTTAACGAAACAAAAGTAGACTCAAACAAGTTAAAAACAAGGGAAAAGAAAGCTCTGACGCAGCTCAAACACTTTCTCAAGACGGTTTTTGGGCAGCCTTTTGACATGAATTATTACACTGGTCATTGGATGATGGGCCCAACATTTTTCTGCTTCACGCAAGCGGTCTGCAATGTTTACAAACATTTGTCCTCGATGCTTAAAGCGTTAAAGCCTGAAAACTTGGAAGATGTCGATGTGATTCAAATGAAGTTACAAAGTCACAAGGAAGGAATTTTAAGCTATATGGAAAACTTAAAAACGGGCAAGTTTTATGGAATGGTTTACACTCAAGAGGCTTGTGTCGGGTCACGGAATGCAATCAGAAGATATTACATTAACATTGCTGTAAAGAATGAAACCGGTAAGTTTCGACTCTATTTAGAGAGACAGTTCATGAAACTAAGTATGTCTGAAATACAATGTATTTTTCACTATGGCTGGTCTATCAGTAGCAGATCTTAAGTATATCACCCATGGAGTCTTGAGTTGATCAGACGGGTGCCGTTGCGTGAAACGTTAATTTGTTTTGAGGCTTTATGGAATTTGTTTTGCTTCGTTGCAACTGTAAGGAGTGAATCAACATTGTCATAGTTAGCCTACTTATCAGTATTTAATGATGCGCGGCCCCGAGTAAGCAAACTTGGCTGCCCGCTATTTTGATACTTGAAGAGCTAAGCCTCTTAGACTAGGCATACCTTAGAAACGAATCATATCGCAGGCTGAGAATCAGTTAAGAACCTTCCATTTTGTGTAAATGACCAGTAATATGCACTGACTTACAAAAAAAGCGTTGAACTCCATTCGTTCAACCCAACTGTAACAATGTGGTTTTCTCAATTGCATCAGACAATAAAATACCGAGAACTGCCGCTCATAAACCCGCTATTATACTATTGACGTTAATCGAAGACAAAAGCAAACATCATCCGCAAGGTTGGATAATAATTTGTTATAATCGATTAGTTAAATCACAGTCACTTAACAAGAACACATGGGAGCGAAACTGCGATCAAATAACACTGCCTGTGTTTCATACTTTCAGGAGTTTTGGAAGAGAAATACGTGCGAGAAGTCCTTGATGATGATTATTTTCATGGCATTACAGCAGCAATGGATGCAACATGGAAAAGCGAACATGGTGGTAAATCTGTCAAGGAATCTTTGGATGATTATCTGGTGGAATATTTCGGTAAACCAATGAGTGAGCTGTTTAGGTAATATCACTTCAGCAAATGTTTATAAAGTTTTTTTATTGCAAATAATTTTGGAGTTAATTGATTCTGATTAATTACAGTTTATGCAGTTTCTACTTAGTTATATTAAATGTTATCAGATGTATCATTTATGTGAATCAGAGAATTTTTCCTAGTTCAGTTTCGCCAAAAAAGAAATTATCGTACTGTAAGACCTGTACGCGAAATACTGCCCAATGTTTCTCGTTAATGATAACAATAACAACTTTATTACTTTCCAAACTTGTTTTTCAAAGTCAATTACATCAATATCAAGAATGAAAAATTTATATTGATTATAAGCCATTAAAAAGTAAGACTATAAAATTATATATTCACAAGATTTTAGCGATATATCAATAACAATAAAGCCCCTAAGACCCTGTTTACATGGAGTGGGGGACCCCGGGGTAGTGGGGTTGGTTTCTTTTGTTTTCACGCTCTGGGGGCACATAAAACAAAAGAAACCTACCCCACTAGACCGGGGTCCCCCACTCCATGTAAACACACTGTAAACAGGCCCTAACTCTCTCCGTTACAACATAGTTAATTAAAAAGAATGGTTGGGAAACTCTTTGTTATAGGTATTGGACCTGACCGTGCACAACGTTCAATAACATTCCTATCATTTTGAAGTTATTGACCAAAAGAAACATCGCATTAATTTATTCAGTCATAATTTGTCAACAGAAAACAAAGGATTGTGCACGGTCGGGGAGCTTCCAACATAAACTACAGCGCCATTGTTTTCAACTTTGATGTTTGCCGGGTTTCCTAACCAGTCTCATCTACTCACTATGGTTACAAAGACAAAAGTAAGCAACCCCTGTCTTAAAAATAGACTGCTTACTGAGACGATTTTCGTTTCCCGTTTTCCTTAAATTCTTTTCCTTCATCCATTCAACGTATGAGAGAGGAAAGATCGATTCAAAATATAAGCTTCTTTCTTAAACAAAAAGCCACAGAAGGAACATATTCAAATAATGAAAAACATTAAAATGCTAATTCACGACAGTGAAACAGAGAGCAATGCAAAACATTCAGTTCATCTAAAGACTTTAAGTGAGAATCACGTAATAAAAAATAACGGTAGGGATGAAGCCAGACTGAAATAAGCAAGGCATAGCCTGTGTACAGCTGACTCTCCCTACCCCGGCAGGCAAAGACAAGGCAAGATCTGTGATCACCGAATGCGAGAGCAAAGGGGGGGATCTAGGAGCATGATCCCTTGAAAATATTGAAATCTAGAAGCTCTTTAGATCTTCTGTTAGAAAAGGCTATTTTCAGCATTTTCATGTATTTTGATCTTCTAAAGTCAGTCTCTTTCAGCTGGGTTTTTTGTCCAGCTAAAAGTATTTTAATAGCCGGCCTGTGTACAGACGCTTCCTCCCCTCAGTAAAAAATCCGGAATTTTTTTACCGAGGGAAGGGGGCGTCTGTACCCAGGCTATAAAGGATTATACATTAATCAAGGATAGTTGTCTCTAAAATTCTCACAGATATCTTGAGCATGATCATTACCGCCATTGTGTCCCAAGTAACTTTTCTAGCGGATTAGCCACTATGCCATTGGATCATGTCTGGGTTGAAGGCAAAGAAAATAAATCTTGGTCTACCAACAAAAAGCTGCCCACTGGTGAAATGTTAGATGGTAAAAGAGCATACTCCATGATACTGCCGTATTATACAACTAATGACATGACCCCAGATGAAGTCCATAAATTGGGATATGAGCAGCTGAAAAAGCTTTATCCACAGGTTAGCATACTTATTTAAATGTTTGCGCAAGTTCGTGAATAACTGAAGGCCTCCTTAAATTGGGCTATCCAGAGCAATGAATCGTCGCTTGATTTTCCTGTTGTGCTTCAGTAAGAGGCGGTTTAATTTTTGTTTTCCCCTTTTTCAGTATTCTGGTACAACCTGGGAAAAATCCAGATTTTGTGAGTAAAGCGAATTCTGTCGCGATGGAAACCTCCAGAAGACAGACGCTCCCCTAAAACACACTTCTCGAGTGGTTGACTATTAATTGAAAATGTTCTTCATTTTTATTCAGGCCGTAAAAGCAGCAAAGAGCGTTACTGGAATTAGCAACGAAACCGAAGCCATCAAAGAATTCAGAAAGAAATTAGATTCACCGGATAACTACTTCAATAAGGAACTTTTTCCAGCAAATGAGTCCGATGCTCAGGCGCATGCGCGGTGCAGCACTATTGAGGAAGCCAAGAAATATTGTCCCATAAGATGGAAAGCTTTGCAAGACTGGTTCAAGGAAGCTAGAATGGTAAACCTTAAAATAAAGGAACAAACATTTAGCAAGAAACAAAAGTAAACAGTTTTAAAAAGGGTTGAAAACTAACTGTTGATATGAGAGAAAAAAAGAAAGTCGTTGTAAACAGAATAGAATTTTGATCCGAGTAATTTTTTTCTTGAGTGTATTTACCAAAAAGTTGCCCAATATTTAGTCGTGCACATCATCTAACATCAAGGTCTTATACTTACAACTAAACATCATGCATAGGAAATGAATGCCGGGGAGGGATGAAATAAGAAGACTTTAGTTTCGAAATGAAGATGTCTTACTGATTTTGTTCTTTTCAGGCAATGAGCCTGCTGTACCCCAAACTAGTTGACATGTTCTACTTCGCTGGGGATAAGCGCTCCACACCTAATTGTCCAATCGAGTTACGCCCTGACCTGAACCCGTCAAGCGGTATACAGAGTAATGTGGTCAGTGATGCGATGTGCTCCAAGCCTGGGTATTACTATATACCGTTCTGGTTAGACAGACTGGGGCCCAAATTTTTTGAATGGACTATAAATGCTCACGAGGCGCGGCCTGGTCATCATCTTCAGGTAAATAACTGGATGTGTGGATAAGAAAGTCACCATATTGGTGATCTTTTGTGAAACCATACCTCTTAATATTTTTCTTTAAAATGTTTTCCCATTTTCCTTGCTCTCGCAAGAGAAAGGACCTTATTAGTAATTAAAAGTTCTATGAGAGCCAATTGTATTTACCTTAAATCTTTACACGTCATCCCTATAATCTCAAGGGATTTAATTGCGATGGGTACACTAACTTGCAGTGACTAACTGTCTTGCTAGCCTTAATTGAAGACAAGAAATTTCCCGTATAAAAACAAAGAGAGCGTTTCTATATTTCTCAGTGTCTTGTTTTCATATGAATTTTATGGTAAATTTGCCTGTATAAATGATCTCTACTTTTCATTATTCTCGACCGCTCGCGATCTTTTTTGATCAGGCGTACGCACCTTATCATGATTAACATTATCTGTTGCAACTGAATACAACACACCCAGAAAACGTCACGTGATTGTTCCCCGAAAAAATTATGTTTATCAGTCAGTGACAAACAAATCATGATAAAAAAAATCCTATTCTACCAGCAGGGGTGGTAACCTAGAAAATCCTGGTTCTCCAAATCAACGGCCCTATATTTCAGATCAAAAAATGTCATTTTACACAATCGTTTTCGCACCTGGCCTTCAGGCCCCAGGTAGGGCCGTAGCATGGGGACCTCCCCCCCCCCCCCCCCCCCCCCTTTTTATTTGTTTTTAAAGTCTGGGAAAAAAAAAAAAAGAAAAAAAAAATCCCTTTTCACCCCCAGGGGGGTAACCCAAAAAAATCCCGGTTTTCCAAAACAACGGCCCTTTTTTTTAAATCAAAAAATGTCTTTTTTACAAACCGTTTTCCCCCCCGGCCCTCCGGCCCCCGGGAGGGCCGGAAAAGGGGGGCCCCCCCCCCCCCCCCCCCAGTTTTTTGCCCGAAAAAGTCAAAACATGCACACATAAAAGCTGGAATGAAAAATTCATCTCTCAGAGCATTGAAACAATGATGTCTCTGCAGTTAGGTGAAACATCTGGTTTTGAGATACAGAGACCAGTCCAATTGGTCCTTCGGACCCAAAACCCTCTGCTTTTCAAATACAATGAGATACCTAAAATCTTTGTGCCCCCTAGTTTCTAAAGGCTTGCTACGGCCCTGTCAGGTATATGAAAGAGTAAGGGTTTCACTAGCTGAAGTATATGAAGGGGTAGGGAAATCTGTTAGTATTTCGGTTTGCTAAAGGCCCAAACGTTTTAACAGATGCATTTTATGGCTGTGAAAAATTCTAGAAAACGTTCTTTATTGATTTATTCGTATTTAAAAGACAGTGCAGTTACAGCAGTTAAAGGGGATGAAAAGTTCTAAACTACAGGTATAGCAAAGGGGTCTCATTTCTCAATAGAAACTACTACGAAAGGAGTGCCTCTCAGAAGTACGGGTGTACCCCAGGCGAAAACTAAATATGTGGCATATGTAGGCTGTTTCAATGTATTCTTTTTCCTGGAATTAGGTCCAAGGAGCCCTAGAAAATTTCCAACGCATATGCGGCGGGGTGGTCAGTTGGTTAGAAGCCAAGACACACTACACAGCGTTCATAGAAGGCTGGGCTCTTTACGCGGAAAATCCACTGACATCAGATGACACAGATGTTTATGACAACGAACCAATGCAAAAATATGGCATGCTTAAGGGGCAGGTGAGTCGCGTTTAGATGATAAAAAATCTTAGAAAAAGGTTTTGGAATTTTTATGAATTATTTTCAAGGTACATCCGTTGACAATCCTTTATGGTCTCGACTAGCCTTCGTCGCAGATGTTATTTAGGCCCGAATTACCGGAAGTGCGTTTTCGAATTTCCTTTCAATTTGATTGGCGAATCGACAAAGGCTTTTTCAACAGGCCAATCATGATGGCGAGTACTCAAATCCTGGTACATGCACACAGGCCGAGGGTCCAACCGGAGTTTAGTCCGAAGCTCAGTTTCGTGTGTGGCGCAGTCTTTTATATTAATACCGGACAATCTGAGAAATTCATTTTGAAATTTTAATCAGCTGAGATCTCTCTGTCCTTAGATCTGGCGGGCGGTGCGGTTGATTGTTGATACAGGCCTTCACTACAAAGGAATGAAGAGACAAGAAGCTATTAAAATGTTTGGAGACTATGCTTGGGATGATTCCGACTTTACTCAGAAAGAGGTAGGAAATTGTCCTTGGTTCAAGCAAAAGATAGTGATCTCTTGGTTCAAGATAATCACGATGATGATAGCTGACTGATAGAGGAGGCAGAGTGGTCGCGTGGTTAGAGGGCTGGACTTTAAGTTCACGTCCTGCCCTGACCGCTAGCTGGGCCCCGAGTTCAGATACTCGATCATGCTTGTAAACAGCCAACTGGTTTGCCTCTGAGCAGTTGGATTCTTATACTCCGTTATGTTTATTTGAATTAGTTGCTTCGGTTGCTTGCTTAGCCTGTGTACAGACGTCCCCCCTGAAGGAGGGGGGACGTCTGTACACATGCTATTGCTTGCTTGGCCTCATTTGCTTTTGCGCTACAAATACTGCCTACGGTAAACAAAGGACTTAACGATGATGATGACGATGGTTGATGATTATGATGAAGATGGTGATAATTCTAAAGATGAAGTTGATTATAATGATGATGAAAATGATGATAATGATGGTAATAAAAACATGGTAAAAAAAAGTAACTACTCTAAGATAGATAGATTATATATCAGTATGGGAGATTTTTGGAAATGACGATGGTGAGGACACAATTTGTTTATTACAGTAGCCGATTCAAAAACTTCTCGTTTAAGACTGAAGTAAGCTACTATCGACTTGAAAAATACGATATTTTCATATGCGTCAGGTAACTCGTTACCAGGGCTGGCCAGGACAGGCAACGGCCTACATGGTTGGTAGGC